CTCCTCCTCCTCCTCCTCCTCCTCCTCCTCCTCTTCCTCGGCATCATCCGATGGTTCCCTCATTTTCTCTCTCTCTCTCTCTCTCTCTCTCTCTCTCTCTATGTTTGCCTGGCCTCCTTCCCATCCTCCTGCTATTCCTCCTCGTTTGCCTATGACCATGCGTGTGTGGGGGGGAGGGGCAACGATCCTCCTCACCCACATCATTGCCATCATCATCAGATCTGCCCTGAGCATGCTATGTGGTATCCTCCTCCACGCTGTTCCGTCCCCCCTTCCGAAAATATATCCTCATGTACCCTCCCACGAACGCCAGGATCTCACTCTTCGAACATCGATGCTGGACAACTATACACTAATTAAGGCTAGGCGCGAAGCGGTCATAGTAGTCAGATTCCGAGTCATACTCCTAGTCCTACTCCTACTGTTCATCATCATCACCACCATCACCACCACCATCATCATCACCACCACCACCACCACCACCACCATCATCATCATCATCATCATCATCATCATCATCAGCAGCAGCATCATCATCAGCATCATCCTCAGTAACAGCATCGTCGTCGTAGCCATCACCACCACCACCATCAACAGCATCATCATCAGCGTCATCAGCATCATCGTCATCATCAACGTCATCATTGTCGGAATCATCATCATCACCATCACCATCACCATCACCATCATCACCATCATGATCATCATCATCACCATCGTCAGTATCATCATCTTCGCCTCTACCTTCATCATTTGCATCATCACCCTCAACAACAAAATCGATAGCATCAGCATCATCAGAATCATCACCATCATCATCATCAGCAGCAGCAGCAGCGGCGGCAGCATCGTCATCGGCGTTCCCACCATCAAAACAATCACCATCCTTGCCGACAACATCATCATCCTCGTCATAAGCATGTGCAACCATCATTTACAGCGTCGCAATTATTATCGTCGTCACTTTCATCTTCAAACTCGTCATGAACAGCATGATCATCGTCAACATCTTAATCAGAATCCACCTCGCCGCCGTCATCATCAGCATCACCGTCGTCATCGTCATCATCGTCATCACCACCACCACCACAATTATCACCACCACCAACACCATCGTCATCACCATAACGATCACCACCACCACCACCACCACCACCATCATCATCATCATCATCATCATCATCATCATCATCATAGTCATCATCATCATCATCATCATAATCATCATCATCATCATCATCATCATCATCATCATCATCATCATCATCATCATCATCATCATCATCATCATTATCATTACCATCCTCTCCCTCCTCATCCTCATCCTCATCATCAGCAACATCATCCTCATCCTCATCCTCATCCTCATCCTCATCCTCATCCTCATCCTCATCCTCACCATCATCCACCACCGCCGCCCCAACCTTCGCCGCCTCGTCCTCGCAGTCGTCCTGATTGCTCCTTCCCCTCCCCGCCCCGATCCTGCTCCCCGGCCAGGAGGAAGCAGCAGCAGCAGCAGCACGAGGAACATGAGTAGGAGCCCGGAGGAGGACCTTTCCACCTCCACGAGGGCGGCTGGGTCGATCCAGGCCAGCCGAGCCACCCCCCGCCCCATGCCGCCGCGCGCGCGCAGTGCCTGCTACGGCCACCTCAGGCGTCCACCGGCCGGTGGGCCTCGAACAGCGCCCTCAGGGGCTCGACCACCTCCTGCAGCCTGCGCAGCCCGTGGCACCCCTCCGGCGCCGCGCCCAGCCCCGCGGCGGCAGCCGCGAAGGCGGAGGCGTCCAGCGCGAGCTGGATGTGGATCTTGTCGAGGTCGGACACCTCGAAGGGGCCCCAGGACACACAAATAAAGACACACAAATAAACAGATTCCCCGTATTTTCCGATATCTTCTGGGTGTCTGTCTTCCCCCCCACTTCCCATATCTTCCCACAATTTCTGGGGAATCGAGGATTCATTGTGTCTGTGTGTTTCTTTTCCTCCTGACACCTGCGACTCTCCGCCCGCGCCGCGGTTGCCCAGCCGCCTGAGCGAGGCCTCCTGCTGCCGAGTCGACTCGAGGAGCTGGGCCGCCTGCGTCGCGAACTCCGCGGCGGCGCCGTCCACGGCCTGGCGGGTCCACTCGGCCACCACCTCGGCTGGGGCGACCTCCCCCGCAGCCTCCCGGAGCGCCTGGATCGGCCGCATCGCCGACTCCACATACGGCGTCGCCTTCCTCGGCACGGGCTTGTCCTTGGGACGACCGAGATGGGCACCGAAAAAATGAGCACGTTGCACAACAACAAATGTTGTCCAGAACCGACAGCGGCCGTTGTTGGGCAGGCGGCCTGCTGTCTCAAATGGACAGCGTCCTCGGCGACACCGACAGCGAGCCTTGCTCACAATGAGCATGAAATACTGTAGGCCTTCGCACCCGTTCTCCCGTGCCCGTTTCGATCGTGCCGACGTCCAGCATGCGGTAGAAGGCAGGAATGCCCCGGATGGCGGCGAACTCGGGCGCCGCGGCCGCGGCGACGTGCCGGACCACGACCTCCTGCAGCGCCTCCAGGGGCGCGCCGAGGCCCTGCACGGCCTGCCCGAGCAGCTCTCCCACCACCTCTCGGCGGCACGCAGGGAGGTGACCCTGGGCAAGACTGGACCTGTGGCGCGCGGCTTCGGAGGGACGAGGGGGGGGTGGGCCAACCCCAAGCCCGCCAGCCGCTGCTTCCGCACCGCACTCGGCGCTCGGGCCCCCAGTGTACCCGCGCCCCCAAGGTCGCTCTGGCGGAGGGCCCCCCTTGCGTGCAGCCGGCGCCTCCCGCGGCCGGCCGCTGCCGGGCGGCGCGCGCGCCAGCACCATGCGCGCCCAGCGGCCCTCGGCCTCGGCACCGGGGGCGCCCCGCGCGCACCGAAGCTCAGCGATCACCGCGAAGACGTCGGAGGCTACGCGGGCGAGGTGCACGGGCACCGACGAGGGCGACCACGCAGGAGGAGACGCAGCCGCGTCCCAGCCACCCTCGTCGCCCCTGACGCCGTCCACCAGCGACTGGACGATGCGCGCGTACCGCGCGAGCAGCTCGAGAGAAGTCTGCACCATCTTGGGGAAGATAGGGGAACGAACAGAGACATCAACCTAAGAACCCGGAGGTCCGCGCGGACTTCCGGGATCCGCGCTGGACCGCCCCTGGCGGCGCTCCGCGGGCGCCAGGGAGAGGGGCCGAGCGCCGATCCGAGACCTCCGCGCGGACCTCCGAGTCCTTATGCTTCTGCCAGGCTTCGCTCCCCCAGAAGAGCACCTCAAGGTACCAGCGGTCGCTCCAGAGCATCTCCAGCGACCCCGCCAGCTCCCCGGACGCGCGCACCCAGAAGCCGCGCCCCGCGGCGGAGTGCGCGGGCGCCGCGGCGGGCGGGCCCGCCTGGGGCACCCGGGAGGCCGCGGCGGCGGCCTCGAGGCGCTGCTCCGTCTCCTTCTTGCGCAGGGACGAGTACACCTGAGCGACGGTCAAAAACAGGCCTCACGCGAGGTGGCAGAGCGACCTGACTGGAGGGCAGAAAGCCCACCCCCAGAATGATCGCCCCGACGCGCGAGGCCGTTTGGTAAGGGTACCCACGGAAGGAACCGAAGAGTGCAGGGCTGTTCAGCAAACGCCCAAGGCCGTTTAGTACACGCCAAGTGTCGGGTCCGGGTGGTTTTTCCTCCCTTGACTTACGCAGTGGCTTACGCGAGTCACCCGCGCGGCACGCCACATTGGAGACGAGGGCGCGTACGCGCGGTCTTACGCGGGCAGCTTTTACGCGCCGATGTCGGCGCAGACGACCCCCGTTTTGTGGCGTCGCTCACCTGTGTCTTCCAGCGCCGCTGAAAATCCCGCAGCGCCGCCCCCTGCCGGAACGCACTCCTCTCGGCGGCCGACATGCGCGCCTCCGCCGCCTTGAGAAAAAGAGCGGACTGGGCGTAGTTCGCCGCGAACACGTCCGGGAACGCAGGCATGAACGTGTTGGGCCAGACCCTCTGCACGTGCTGCAGCGCTGGCGTCGCCACCGCGTTTGCGACAAGAGCCAGCGACGGCACTGCCAGCAGAGAGCTCTGGGCCTCGGCGCCCTCCTCGCACGGGCCTGCGCCACCGCCGAGCTGCCGGGCCAGCCAAACCACCGGCGTGTCCTCGCCGAGCAGCGCGGCGCCCACGGCGGCAAAGAATGGACCCAGGTCCACGGCACCGGCGCCGATCGCCAGCGTCAGGCTGCCCCCCGGACTTGTGCCAGCGTCGCCAAGGCTTGACCTTGCAGGAACGTTTTCCTTGATGCCCTCCCTCCTCCTCTACCTCCTCCTCCTCCTCCTCTCCTCCTCCTCCTCCTCCTCCTCCTCCTCCTCCTCCTCCTCCTCCTCCTCTCTCCTCCTCCTCTCCTCCTCCTCCTCCTCCTCCTCCTCCTCCTCCTCCTCCTCCTCCTCCTCCTCCTCCTCCTCCTCCTCCTCTGGGGAAAGCAGAAGGTACCGATACCGCTACTCCACCGACCTCTCCAAGGGTGCGTTCTGACCAGGATTTCGAGGCACGTCCAGCGGTGGCGACGAGGGCCCCTGAGGAGGCCCAGGAAGGGGAAAACGAGGGAGGGGTAGCAGTATGGGTACCTTCTCCTCCTCTGAGACCTGCGCTGGATCTCCTCCGCCGCCGCGGTGCACTCTGACGTGGCCCTGTCGAGGACCTCTTCGGTGAAGACCTGCGCGAAGACCTCCTCTGCTGCCCCAGCGCGCCCGACGGCCACGAGGGCACGGCACAGGTGCGCGACGGCGAGCAGCTCGCCCCGCGCCAGCGCCGGCGCGGACCCCGGCGTTGCCTCGGCGCCGCCTCCGGCCGCGTCCCAGCGGCGCCTGGCGGCCACCGCCAGGCCCAGCAGCCTTTCCCGCACCTTGGGGAGACCAGAAGGCACCGAAACCGCCACTCCCCAGGCCTCTCCTGGGGCACGCTCTGACCAAGACTCCGAAGCGAAGCCAGCGGTGGCGACGAGGGCCGCCCAGGAGGATCACCGAGGGGAAAACGAAGGAGTGGTAGAGGTGTGGGTACCACTACCCTCGTTTAAATTAACCTCAACAGTTGCCGGCACGTCATGTCGATGTCGGCGCGCCCCTCAATGTCGACACGCCGCCCCTTCAGTGTCGGGGCGAAGGCAAAGATAGTCTGACCGAAGCTGACTCCAAAGTTTGACGTCGACCGACACTGGAGGGGCGGCGCATGCAAGTACCCCGCACTCATCGATACTGGGCCCCAGATCTTCCGACAAGCAGTTCAACCACGTCAGACATTTTTGAGGTTAACTGTGACGAGGGTTGCAGATCCTCCTCTGGCGCCTGGCCCGCAAACTGCTCCTCGAAGTCGGCCGCCTCCCGCAGCAGCGCCTGGCACTCCGGCGAGGCCCCGAGGGCCGGCGGCGGCGGCCGGCCGAGGGCGGCGGCCGCCGGCGCCTCGCCGCCGGGGCCGCTCGCCGCGGGGGAGCCAGAGCCGGCTCCTGCGGACTGCGGGGGCGGGGCCGGCTGGGCCTGTGGGGGGGGCGCTTGCGAGCCCTACCCCCATAGCCCCACGATGTCTGAGGGGGAGGGCGGGGCTCACTGCGCTCGGGAGCTCCCGCACGAGGTGAGCCCCGCCCTCCCCCTCAGAAAGCGTGGGGGGGGTGGGGGCAGGGCTCGCGAGTGGCCCCCCAGCCTGGCCAGCGGCCCGGGCCTCGCCGCCCAGGTTGAGGCGGATCCTGCGAAGGTCGCGCGCCACGTTCTCCAGCGACGCGTGCTCCGACAGCGCGTCGCGGCGCTCCCGGCCGCCGCCGCGCGCAGCCTGTGCCTTCGCCCTGTCCAGGATTCGAGCGTTCTCGATGTACGCGACGAGGGCGTCCTTTCGCGCACGCACCTGTGCGAGCGACTCGTGCGCCTCGTCGGCCTGTCCCAAGATGCTCCGCAGCTTGGAGCGGAGGCCCTGCATCAAATCGCTGGACTCCTCCAGGGGCACGCGCAGGGGCTTCAGGGCACGTTCCACGCCTTGCATCTGGGACGATAGGCTGACGAAGTCCGCATACTTCTCATTGATCAGCTCCACGAGTTCCTGACGAGTGGCAGCGTGGTGTGCGCGGAGCCCTTTCTGGAGCTGCGGCAATGGCACTCGCTTTCTGTACCTCTGCACCACCTCGCGAGCATCGAAGTCACGGCCGTCGAACTCAGAGGCCGGAATCTCTTCCATGGGAGCACAGCGAACAATGAAGGCAGGGTGACGGAGCCTGCGAGGGGGGGAGGGTGATGACTCGAGACCAGGCGGACTCGAGATGGGCTGTGAAAAGCTCGATCCGACCCGCCCCCAGAGTGGCCTACAAGCGCCACGATCGCAGCAAGGGCCACATGGACTACGGAGCTGCAGCAGGAGAAAGAAGGGGATCGTGCCCCCAGACAGGCCCCGTCCTGACCTATCAGGATTGGGCCGTTTCCAGCCGTGTCGATGAGTTGGGAGTCCCTGGGAGCCAGGGCATGCCTCCTCCTCCTCCTCCTCCTCCTCCTCCTCCTCCTCCTCCTCCTCCTCCTGCTCCTGCTCCATCCCTCCTCCTTATGAATAGCTCCTCCCTGTCGCACCCCGACACGTGTCGGTAGGGCGGGCTGGCCGTTTCGCCTGAGCCTTCCTCACCACTCACGACCCTGAAGCTTACAAGTTTGCAAGAGCTTCACGGATGGAGGGCGGTTCCTTTTCAACATGTTTCTCTCGCCTTAGCGCAGCGCACACTCGTCGCAAAAGTCTGCAAGCGCTTCGCGGATGGAGGGTGGTTCCTTGTCAAGATGGGGCTCTCGCCTGAGCGCAGCGCCCATACGTTTTAAGGGCTCGCAAGAGCTTCACGGACGGAGGGCGGTTCCGTTTCAAAACGTGGCGCTCGCCTGAGCGCCGCGCACATTAGTCTTAAAATGTTTGCAGGAGCTTCACGGAAAGAGGGCAGTTCCTTTTCAAAATGTGGCTCTCGCCTGAGCGCAGTGCACATTCGTCTCAAAGGTTCTGAGCCGTTTTGAAGACTATGATGGTTGACGTCTCAGGAGCGGCGTTCTGGCATGATTTAGAACTGTCAAGGCGCAACAGCAAGTTGACTCGCGGTGGCCGAATCCCAGGAATGGTGCTCTGGCACGAGTCAGGATCGTCAGGACGCAACAATCCTCTACCGTGCCGCTGAGCACTGGGTGGGCGTGTCCGCAGGTCCTTTGCCCATCCCCTGGGCCTCAGTCCTCAGTCCTGAGGAGTTTCACAGAAGCCTGCACCCAGAATTGCCACATCTCTCGAGCCTTCCCGCGTGCCCCCAGAGGTTTGGCGCGTCTTGTCGGGTGACCTTTTCGGGCCAAAGAGGGGCCCCAGACGGGCCCAGACGGGTCCAAGGGGCCCTCGAGACGGCCGAAGACAGCCTCGAGTCGCCGAGAGATCACTCCAAGATGCTCAAGATGGCCCCAAGACGCCCCAAGAAAGTGCCAAGACGCCCCAAGAACCTTCCAAGAGGCCTCCCAAGAGGGCCCCAAGAGGCAAACAGCGAGGGATATATATATATATACATAGAGATATATATATATATATATATATATATATATATATACATATATATATAACCCTCGCTGTCATACATATATAAACATCGAACATGAATACATGCATACATACAAACATACATACATACATACATACATACATACATACCTACATACATACGTACGTACATATATACATACATACATACATACATACATACATACATACATACATACATACATACATACATACATACATACATACATACATACATACATACATACATACATACATACATACATACATACATACATACATACATACATACATACATACATACATACATACATACATACATACATACATACATACATACATACATGCATGCATGCATGCATACATACATACATACATACATGCATGCATGCATGCATGCATGCATGCATGCATACATACAGACATACATACATGCATACATGCATGCATACATACGTACGTACATGCATGCATGCATGCATTCATCCATCCATCCATCAATCCATCCATCCAGACAGACAGACAGACAGACGCTTATACATGTACATGCAAATATACATACATGCATACACAGATACAAGCATACATACATAAAACCGTACATACATACATGCATGCATGCAGGCAAGCAGGCGCATGCATACACAAATAATTACATGCATGCATACATGCATACATATACATATACAAATGCAGATACTGATACAGACAGTGGTACTGAAAAATATGTGTTCAAACCAATAACCACAACAACAGCAACAACAACAACAACAATAACAATAACAACAATAACAACAACAACAACAACAACAGCAACAATAAGTTTGAGACTGTTCGCCCTTATAGGCTCGAGTGTCCAATAACGCGTATTTCCCAAAACATCGATAACCGCCCTCTTCGTCTTCGATCGAACCCCTTTTGGGGGGTATACCTTTCTTCCCTGCAGGCTGGGCCCCGGCAAGCGGGGCGGCCGCGGACCGTCGGCCTGGCCAGCGGCAGCGCTGATCGGCGGGGCAGCCGCGGACCGTCGACCCGACCCCAAGAGGGACGGACAGGGGACCGACCACGACGACGACGACGACGACGACGACGACGACGACGTCGAAGACGACGGCGGCGACGACGACGACGACGGCGACGACGAGCGAAAGCGAGAGCGAGAGAGAACGACAGCAGGGCCACGAAGGGCACGAAGTAGGCCACGAAGGGCGACAGCGGGGACACGAAGGGAATGCGTATGGGGCCACGAAGAGCGCGAACGAGCGGGGGCCACGAAGTGCTCCACCGAAGGCCCCAGTGGCGCAGTTCGCATGCGTTTCCCCCGCCCAGGGCAGCGCTTCGTGGCCCCATAGGGAGCTCCACCGAAGGCCCCAGTGGCTGCTCTCGCATGCGTTTCCCCCGCCCTGGGCAGCGCTTCGTGGCCCCATAGGGAGCTCCACCGAAGGCCCCAGTGGCTGCTCTCGCATGCGTTTCCCCCCCCCCTGGGCAGCGCTTCGTGGCCCCATAACGGGGACCACCGAAGGCCCCAGTGGCTGCTCTCGCATGCGTTTCTCCCACCCAGGGCAGCGTTTCGTGGCCCCATAGGGAGCTCCACCGAAGGCCCCCGTGGCGCAGTTCGCGTGCGGTTCCCCCACTCAGGGCAGCGCTTCGTGGCCCCATAGGGAGCTCCACCGAAGGCCCCAGTGGCGCAGTTCGCATGCGTTTCCCCCGCCCAGGGCAGCGCTTCGTGGCCCGATAGGAAGCCCCACCGAAAGCGGCACCCACAACGCGATAACCATTGCTTATGGTTGGGTCCTGCCATGATAATTTAATATTATCACGGCCAAATGGGACCAGCGTCTAAAAATGTGATTCCGCATGAGACGTCCGCAACAAAAAAATCAGATCGCATTCCAGGGCGATCTGAACATTTGCCACGGCATCTGAAAGTGGCGATTTTGCGTGGGACTTCTGCAGACAAAAATTCAGATCCATCTTCATGCCGCCTGGGAGCGGTGAAATCGTTTGAGAAGTCCTCGCAGGGTATTTTCCGACCGTTTTTCACACCGCCAAAGAGTGGCGATTTCGTTTGGGCTGTCCTAACAAACGCGCGTCTCGTCCACCCCTGCGTCGCCGCTCCTCCGTTCGGGTAACGACTCTGTCTGGGAGTTACGTGGGATCGATCGAAGGTCGAAGCTTGAGTTTTTTCGATCGGCAAAGTCCCAGGGGTTGTTCCCTGCCATAGTGCCGACCACCACTTTTCAATCCAGGGGGTGGTAGATAACCTCCAAAACGACCCAAGAGGCTCCAAGAAAGCCTCCGAAGATGGCCCAAGAGGGCCCAAGATGCCTCACGTCCGACCAAGAAGCCTGCAAGACGGCCGAAGAGGCCTCCAAGACGTCCTCCAGGAGGGCCCGAAGAGGCCAAAATCAATGGTTGTCCTTGGGTCTTTAAGAAATTGGCACTCGCTTCTTTTCAGCTGTTCGGCAGCCCAAGACGGCCCAAGAGGCCCCAAACATCGCCCCAAGATGGCCCAGAGGCCTTCAAGTTCGCCCAGGATGCTCCTAGATAACCTCCAAGACTGACCAAGAGGCTCCAAGAAGCCCTCTAAGACGCCCAAGAGGGCCCAAGATGCTTCCAAGTCCGCCCGAAAAGCCTGTAAGACGGCCCCTGAGGGTCCAAGAAGTACCTACGAAACCTGCAAGACGGCCCAAGAGGCCTCCAAGACGTCCTCCAGGAGGGCCCGAAGAGGAAAAAAACATCGGTTGTCCTGTGGGTTCTAGGTGATGCTGACACTTGCTTCTCTTCGGCTCCGACGGCCCAAGACAGCCCAAGAGGTCCCAAAAATCGCGCCAAGGTGGCTCCAAAAGCCTCCAAAATGACCCCATGATGGCCCAAGGAGCCGCCAAGACGGCCCCAAGAGGGCCTCGAAGTTCGCCCAAGATGCTCCAAGATACCCTACAAGACGGCCAAAAAAGGCCCAAGACGGCCTCCAAGACGGCCCAAGAGGATCCAAAATGCCTCCAAGTCCGCCCAATAAGCCTGCACGAAGGCCAAGACGGCCCAAGAGGCCCCCAAGAGACCTTCAAAGCAGCCCAAGAAGCCTCTGAGACGTCCTCTAGGAGGGCTCGAACTGGCCCAAATCCTTGCTTGCTTCATGGCTTTAAAGAGGTGTGGGCACGTGCTTTCGCTATTCCATCGTCAGAAGAGAGGACGTATTTCCCTTCGTGCTCTGGTGTCGCGGCGCGGCCGCTCGCCGTAGCATTGGGCGCATCAGGGTGAGAGGCTTCGGCGACATAGCCGCCCGCAGCCGAAGGTTTTTGTTGGTCCCGCGGCCATGGTTCCAGCCCCAGGTGTCGGCTTAGCATCACAGGTGCTCGAACCAACGCTGGAGGGCCGATCTCCCTTTCTTCCCCTGTCACACGGGGCAGACGCGGCATTGACTTCACCGATACAGCATCCTCCGATGATGCGGAGATAGCGCCACCCGAAACGGAGGAGTCAGAGCTGATCACGCAGGCTTGGTCAACCGATGCAGGCACTGGGGACCGCGGGGGCCCCGTTAATGCCGTACCCTTCCGCATCCTCCCTTTCCGCGGGATCGCACGCCCGCGGCGCATCTCGGCGGCCCGCGCCCCGGCTCGGACGGCGAACCTGCGCGACCGGCGGCATCT